TCTTCCTTTTGGGTTGGTTTAGAATTTGTTTCTTGTGTCGTGTTTTGATTACTTTTAATGTTTTTATTAGGGTGTTATATTTACAAATAATAGTGGGTTCATAGAGACATAGCCACAGGTATAAAGTTCATAATTTGTTCCAGTTCATTCCTGATACATCCCTTTCCCTCTTCTCCTCCTCCCCCCTGTCCTTCCTGGGTTTTCTGATCTGTCTGGACATTTTCCTGTTGGGAGACGATCAGGGCACACTTAGGGTCCATCATCATGAAGAGAATCCTACTCATCTCATCTCCACATGGGCTGACTCCAGTACCTCCTTCCTGCTCAGCTCCATTGCAGAGACCCACAAGGACCACTAGTCCCAAACCCACAGGCTGACGGCCCCCTCTCGTTCCCCACTGTGTGCCTGAACACTGGAGGCCACGGCCGGTTTGCTTCCCACAGGAGACCCCCGACACTGGACGAGCTGGGATATACAAATCCTTGACCTGCAACACCTCCAAGGAGATGACAGCCTTCAGCGACTACCCCGTCCCTGACCATTTTCCCAACTACATGCACAATTCCAAAATGATGGAGTATCTCAGGATGTACGCCAGGCACTTTGGTCTCATGCAACACATCGAGTTCCTGGTAAGGAAGGCAAACCCTGCTCAGCACCTCCACGTGGGTCCTCACAAAGTCTTCACAAGCCAGAGCAGGCAGAGGCGCCCGTCCAGTGTGCATGTCCACCACAGTTCTAGAGAGACCTGGTGTCTCGGCACATTCTCTACATTAGTGAAGACATTTCCAACTTAGGTCCCCTCCAAGGTGCACTGTCTCCGCATTGGTCCCTAAGCTGAGGCTTCAGTTAATCATATTAGACGTAGAATATAGGTTTAGGAATGGAATTTCATGTATTATGTTGCCCAACTACCTCAATCCTAGGGAAGAAACAATTCTAGGAGGTTGTTGTGCATACAATTATAAAATCCCAGGAGCTATGGAGAGAGAAGCCACCACCCACCTTATTGTGAACCCAGAGTTCTCTGGGGAATGGAGATGAGCAGTGCTCTAGCACTAAGGCTGCCTTGGCCCTTGCTTCCCAGGCGAAGGTGTGCAGTGTGAGGAAGCGCCCTGATTTTTCATCCTCTGGCCAGTGGGATGTTGTGGTAGAAGCTGATGGGAAGCAGCAATCCTACATCTTCGACGGGGTCATGATCTGCAGCGGCCATTACACTGAGAAGCATTTGCCCTTACAGGAGTTTGCAGGTATTTAACTGATGAGTGTGAGGGGCAGATCTTTGGATCCAAGAATCTCCATGCCCACGCTAGCATGGGCACAGACAGAAGCGTTTTCCTGGCACAGTGGGGTTCAGAGAGGAGCACTCAGATGATAGAGGTACCCCTGGAACTGGAAGCCCAGCCTTCCCCAGGCAGCCAAGGCAGGGGTCTGGCCTTCCAGGAAGAAGAAGCAAGTGAGCAATGGAGTGTGGCCTGGCCAGGAGAACACACCCTTGCTGTGGGAGGAGCAGGTGTGTGGGCAGGAGAGGTAGGCGGGAGTCAGTGAGCAACCAGTGCAGTGTGTGAGAGTGTGTATGTGCATGTGTGTATGAGTGTGCGCGTGTGTGAGTGTGCATGTGTGTGTGCGTGTGAGTGTGCACTTGTGTGTGAGTGTGTGCAAGTGTGTGTGAGTGTGCACGTGTGTGTGCGTGTGAGTGCATGTGTGTGTGTGTGTGTGTGCACTTGGGGGGGACTGCTACCTGGTGCATTTGTACTTACACAGGTCTGTCTTGCAGTGGTGGGAAGATGGTTTGACAGGGAGAAAGACCAAAGCAGACACATGAATAACGAGGAGATCTTGACAGTCCCCAAAGAGAAGTGAGGGAGGGCTGAGTGAAGACGGGTAAAACATACACCTGTAGCAACGTCTGTGATATTTGTGGAATATAATCAAAATTGTCAAGAACCTCTGAGACTACTCGTTCGCATTTGTCCTAATCAACAGAGCTGCTGACGGGCGCCTGTCTCTGGAGCTACTGAAATGTGACACACACGCTCGTTTGCAATATATGCATTGTAAACACATGGCAACGTGGGTAAAAGCCTCAGAGTACCTCTGTGGGCTGATTATACACTAGCCTGTTAGATTATGCTAGTTAAATAAATATATCATTAAAACTTCCACACAGTATCCTGCTGACCACTCTAACCTCTAAAGCTGCGGTCAGCTTCCTTGGACAGCACTCTGCACGCTCACCTGGCTAAGGACCTTTGTGCATAATTCCTTCTCAGTGTTACAAGAAGTGAAGAGCAGTTCCTCGTATATCAGTGGAGAATCAGAAAAAGACAAGAACATCCCAAGGTAGCACTAGTGAGCACAGTGAAAAAACTTCAGGTTGGGTTTTAAGGGACATTCGTCTGCTGGATTTTGGTCTCAGCCGTATCCACACCGCCTCTGAACCTTTTGTTCCTTGCACAGCCTGGTTCTGTCATTTCGGCAGTGCCTGACCCACAGCAGCAAAGCGGGTGGAAGAGACACAGCCTCAGCTTGGAGGCACACTGTGCCAGACCCCGTTCCCGTCTGTGCTGCTGACGTGGGTTGCTCCTCTCCTCCCAGGCATCCAGAAGTTCCGAGGCAGGTACCTGCACAGCTGGGAGTACAAGCAGCCGGACACTTTTGCCGGGAAGAGAGTGGTTGTGATTGGCATCGGGAACTCTGGAGCAGATGTGGCTGGCGAGATCAGTCGTGTTGCTGAGCAGGTTGGCATTTTACCTCATTCTGACATCAAGGTGAGAAGACAGAGTTGTTACTGGGCGGCTTCTCCTCTCTCGCAGGTTTTCCTCAGCACGAGACGAGGCGCGTGGATTTGGAACCGGGTGTGGGATGACGGCAACCCCATGGACACTGCCCTCTTCACCCGGTACAATAGGGCACTCCAAAAACTACTGCCCTCGTTCCTCATCAACAGGTGGGCAGAGAAGAAACTGAACGCAAGGTTCAACCACGCCAACTACGGGCTGCAGGCTGCACACAGGTACGTGCACCTGGGCTGGGACGGCCAGGCAGCTCAGCAGAGTCGGTGGCCCCAGAGGCACAGGAGCAGGGCACGCCCCATGCTAACACCTGGCAGGACTTTTTACTCCTTTAGTCATTCCTGCTCCTTCCTCTGGGGTGCCACAGCAAAGCCAGGGGTGGGGGGGGGCGCAGGGAACTCAGCACTGGTCTCATGAGACCTGTGCCACCTGCCATGCCACCCTTCATAGCACGTGCCCCTTTACTCTCTGAATTCTAAACAAGATCCACAGCGACCCTCAGGCTGACGTCCATCAGGACAGGTCCAACATCCACATGGACAGGCCCCACACTCAGGCCCAGCCACCCCTGGCCCTCCTCACTGCTGTGGCCTCTGTCCTGCTCCTCTAGGACCCATGACCATGGCCACCCTAGAACTCACCACCCAGGCGTGCAGTGCCCCTGGATGTCCCAGGACCCCTCTTGCTTGGGGCCTCTCACCCCAGCAGTTCTGACCAGGACCGGCCCTCCCTCCTGGCCACACTCGCCTGGCTCTTCCCCCTCTGGGGCCACTCCTCCTCTGTGGCCTTTGGTCCCTCCCCCACCTGACCCAGGAGCTTGGTGTTGTCCCTGTCTCCATTCCTGCTCCTCTCCCCTCCTTCCCTACAGGTTCCTGAATTTAAAAAATAGTCAAATAAAAGATTATAAAGACTTCAACTAGGCCACGCAGGCAGCGACAGCAGAGAATCAGTTCTCACAAGTGTGTGCAGGAAGAAATCATGTAGCTCAGGACTAGACTCATGAGGTGGGTGTGCGACTCCAGCTTCTTGCAAAGCACAGGTTTTTCAGGATGTAGAAGACGGGTAGTGACAGCAAAGGACGCCTGGGAATAGAGGGACTCGCAGCTCCAACCTCCTGCTGCAGTCTCCAAGCGTTGGCTGTCTCTAAGCCCCACTCTCCCCTCGAGGGTCACACTGTTTGAGTAGCTCTGTTTTTTGGTTTGTGCCGCACAGTTTTTCTGTTTGTTTTTTTTTTCTTTTTTGTTCATTTGGCAGCAAGTCTTAGGAAAGGATATATATAAAAGAGTATGTACAAATATGCTTACTCTTTTATCTGTATTCTCATTTTTTCTTGTCCTTAACCCACAGGAATCCTGCAGACGTGCATCTCTCTGTGTGATCTGCACACAGGCACGTCTTGTTGTTGACTGTGGCTCCCCTCCCTCCCACCCTATCTTACCCTACATCTCTCCCCTTCCCATGGTTCCCTTTCCCTTCCCTCACCTTTTTTTTTCCAGTTTACGTGTATGAAATTAAAAAGCTCTTGGGTTGTTTTTTTGTTGTTGTTGGCATATTTTTGCTTAACATGATGTCCTTCTGTGCCATCCATTTTCTGACAATGACATGATTTCATTCTTCCTCGTGACTGAGTAATACTCCATTATATAAATGGACCACATATTCTTGGTCCATTTATCTACCTCCAGGCTCCCAAGCTGATTCCATGACTTGGTTAGTTTGAATAGTGCCAGTTGACATTGGTATTCAGCTTGTAGTGGACTTTCAACTAAGATGTTGTGACACGTCCAGCTTGGATGTTTTGACTCAGGACTATTTTGGCTGTCCAGGGTCTTTTGTGCTTAGGTTTGAATTTAGGATGTTCTTTCTAGTTCTGTGAATAACGTCTCTGGTATTTTGATGGGAACTGCACTGAATCTGTAGATCATTTTGGGGTGGGACACTTTAACAAGATTGTCTCACTCCATGAACACGGGAGGCCTTTTCACATTCTGCCATCTCCTTCAGCCTCTTTCTTCAGTTTGATTCATTTTGTAGAGGTCTTTACGTTTTGTTGGGTTGGGTTCTAGAATTTTTTTTTTTTTTTTGAGGCTGTTGTGAATGGCATGAGAGATCTCATTACTGACATATAGAAAAGCTCCTGGATTTCACAGGTGGCTTCTGTGTCCTGCTGCTCTGGTTCTAAGTGTCTTGCAGAGGAGGCTCGGGGGTTCCTGGGGGCGTAATCCTATCATCTGCAACCAGGACAGTGTGGCTTCCCCCTTCCCCATGCTTACCTTTAGTCTCTTTCTCTTACCTAGTTTCAGAGGCTAGAATTTCATGTACTGATGAATAAGAGTGGTGAGAAGGCACACCCTTGGGTAGCTCCTGGCTTCAGATGAGAGGCTTCCACTTTTCCCATTTGTCATGTAAGGTCTGTCACTTTGCAGTGGGATCCTCCATACCTAATTTGTTCAGGACTTTATCCTAAAGGAATATCAAGTTTATCCAAGGCTTTTCCTGATTCTGAAGATTCTTCAGTTTTATTTTGACTCTGCTTTGATTCCCTATTACATTTTCAGTTTGTGTATATAGAGCGAGCCTTGCATCCCTGGAACGAAACCAACTTGACTGTGATGGAGACCTTTTAGACGTGCCGCTGACTTCACTGTGCAGCGTTTCATTGAGGATATTTTCATCTAAGCTCAACAAGGATGCTGGTTTATACTTTGCTCTCTTTTTCTTTTTGTTGTTGTATCTTTATCAGCTTTTCACACTAGGATGATCCTGGCTTTGCAGAATTGGAAGAGGTCCTTCCCTCTGTGTCTTAGGAACACTTTGAGGAGCACTGCATTAGTTCTTCTTTAAAAATTTGGTGAAATTCACAGTGAGTCCCTCCAGTCCTCAGCTTGCTTGTTAGAAGACTTTTTATTACTGCTTCAATCTCAATGCTTCTTATTGATCATTGAGTTTTTATATCCTATTTGTTCAATTTTGGAAGGTCATATGTGCCCAGAAATGTGTGCATGTTTTGAGATTTTCTAATTTATTGACATATCATTACTCATATTTTCCCTGGTATCATTTGAATTTCAGTAGTTATCTGTTGCAATGTCCTCTTTTCACCTCTAATTCTGTTTTGGAAGTTCTTCTCTCTGGCTAGTTAAGGGTTTGTCAATTTTGTTGACCTTTTCAAAGAATTCTTTGTTTCATTGATCCTTTGTGTTGTTCTTTTAGTCCCTATTCTATTTATTTCTTTCATGATCTTTATGATTTGTTTCCTTCTACTGATTGTGAATTTAGTATGCACTTTTTCTAAGACCTTGAGATGCATCATTAGGTTTCTATTGGAGGTATTTTTTAATGCAGGCACTCATGGCTCAAACCTCCTCTTTGTGCTGCTCTTCTGTTTCCCACAGTTTCTGCTATGGGTTGTGTTTTCATTCAGTTCTAAGAATTTTAAATGATTTTTTTAGTGATCCATTATTCGTTCAAAAGTGTATTATTCCATCTCCGTGTGTTTGTATAATTTCTGCAGTTTCTCTTGCCATTGATTTCTAGTTTCATTACATTACGATTTGATAAGGTATGCAAATCTGTTTCAATTCTTTGCTTGGATAAGACTTTCCGATGGCCTAATATATAATCTGTTTTGAAAAAAGTTTCATGTGTTGACAAAAAAATGTATATTCTGCTGATGTTCGATGGAATTTTCTGTAGATGTCTGTTAAGTCCATTTGATTTATAGTATAACTTAGATGTTCATTTGCAGTATTGTTTTTTTTGGGGGGGGTGTGTTGAGGTTTTGTTTTGGTTTGATTTGGTCTTGATGATCTGTGGGTGAGAGAGGGGTGTTGGATTCACCCTGTTCTTATTGTCTTAGGCCCTGTCTCTCTCCCTTTATTGTTAATAGTCTTTGTTTGATAAGATTGGGATTCCCAACATATGTTTATAACTGTTATATCTTCTTGATGAACTGCTCCCCTTATCAATATGTAGTAGCTTAAAGCCTGTTTTGTCAGATATGAGTAGGGTGGTTCCTTTTAGAGTACATTTTCTTGGAATACCATTCTCCATCATTATTTTCAAGGTGTGACTTTTTTGCTGACTTTTTTGCTGATGAGGTGAGTTTCTTGCAGAAAGAAGACACAGGCTTTTCTTTTTTAATCTAATCACACAGTCTGCATATTTTAATTGGAGAATTAAGACCATTTATATTCAGGAAGGTCTTTTTTTTCAGTTATAGATAGACTTTATTTTTATGTAGTGCTGAGGATTGAGCCCAGAGCCTCAGACCTGCTAGGCAAGTGCTCTAACACTGAGCCACACCCCAAGCCCATCCAGGGTTATTTTTGAAAGGTATATATTTGTTCCTATCGTGTGATTATTTTTCTTCTGGGTGTTTTAAATATCCTATGTTCATTTCTTCATCTCTTATTCTTCTTGGAGCTTGAAGTTTTTGTGCATTAGTACTGTTTGATTCTTTACTAATTCTCCTTTGCTAATCTGTTCTTTCAGTGAACTTTACTTTTCTTCTCTGCCTTCATCATTGTTTACTGTTCTTCCTCTTCAGGGTGTATGATTTCCTTAAGTACCTTCTGTAAAGCTGGTTGACTGGTCACAAGTTGCCTTACCTCGAGCTTCTCTAAGGACTTCATTACTTCCTCTATTCTGGAGGATGTCTTAGCTGAGTGTAGTAATCTAAGTTGGCAATTATTTTCTTGAAAAACCCTTTGACGTCCTCCTTACCTTTATAATTTCTACTGAGAAATCTGCTGACATTTATGGAGGAAAAAATAAGTAAACAGTTCCTCCTAGCTGAGGTGTTGGAAACATGGTCTCCAGATGGCAAAGGTTGGAATTCAACAGGTGAGGGAGGGACAGGGTGTGGGGGTCACAGCTGCTGCTTGCTAGAATTCCTCTCAGGTCTCACAAAACAAGTTGGACAAAGAGCAGACTGCATTGTACATTTCTCACTGAAAACATTAAGGGCATGTTGACCATGCCAAGAGTAGGTTCTCTCCAGTGACTTTAGACTGTGTAACTAGGGGCATGGCACAAGTCAGAGCCACAGCAAGCCCCTCTCACTGAGCGGTTTGGTGGAGCGTGGCTAGCACTAGGAGATACAGTCACTCCCAAGAGAATGTAGACTGGATGTCCAGGGGTGTGACAAATGTCCAAGGTGCAGCACATCCCAGAATACCTCTGAGGGGGGAGGAGCAACTGGACCACCTAGTTTTGTGCTGGGATTGCTAACCTTCATCGCAGCACCTTTGAACCCTGCCTCCCACACAAAATAAGTGACAGGTCACTTTGTGTCACAGGGCAGGATCACTGAACCTCTGTCCCCTCCACTCCCTTCCCACTGTAAGCCACTTCCCCACCCAGCATAAACTCCTCAGCAAACTTGTGTCAGAGGCACTTCCCAAGCCCTGACTGTCTCTAGGGCCACTGCCTGCTGCCGCAGTCTGGCTGGGCACAAAATAACCGAGCCGCCACACAGCCTTGTAGGTTTAAAACAGGAACTCCTTTTTTCTCCGCACTCCCAGGAACGCCACGCACGCACGCAGACTTCTTCCAGGACACACCACACACCAACCGGAAATCCCTCTTCCGGAAATCCCTCCTCCCGCACTTCCCCAACCAATGGGAACTCTCCGGGAATCCCTGGGAGAACTCCAAAGTAGCAGGCCAAGGCAGACAGCAGGGGTCTAATATACAATTGAATACACAGCTTAACATAACCATCATCATCTCAATGGCTTGCTGGAGTCACCTCTCAACCACTCTGGCAAAAATGCCATGCGTCATCCCAACTCAGCTATGGCTCTCAGCAGCCTGCAGAGTCAGCATACCCAAGTGTCCCCAGGACCTGAAGAGGTGATTATGCCAAGTTTCCTGGTTCCCACAATAGTTTAGTCCCAAACAATAGGACCTCACAGTGGTTCCCAGCTATAACCTCTGAGGGTTTGCTGAGAGATGCAAGGAGTCCTGCCCTGAAGCTGCAGTTTCTCAGACTCCAGGAGACCTGCTTCTTTAAGTCTTTAGTCTGCCCGGGACAGCCTTCTACCCCAGCCTTCTACTACCTTCTACACCAGGCTGTGACTCCTTCTCTTTCACCTTCATCCCCTCAGAAGAACCTTCTTCCCCAAACCAAGCTGCCAGAGCCCCCAGGGAACACATTCTATTTCTGGTGCTTCGTTACTCTCTCTAGTCTCTGAATCCACCAAGTTTTTTGTTTTGTTTTGTTTTTTAATCTGTGCTATCAACTTCAGTGCTCAGACACAGTCCCTCACCTCCAGGAGAGTAACAGCTGTGGTTTTATTTCCATCCTGTGGAGGAACAAACTAGTGTTGGCTCTCTCTTCCACCATCTTTCTGTTTTCAAAGATTCCTGTTCAAGTCCTTCAGTAGCTCTTTGTAGATCACTGATAAAGATTAATGATGAATTCATGCAAATCCTTACTTGGTATCAAGTAAGTTAAAATTGAAGGATTTTATTCCTGATAAACATATAAATAGAGTTCATGTTTATTATCACATACTTAGCACAATCTCATCTGGTTGTTGAGCCATCAGTCTAATTATAGATTAGGAAACCAAAGATAAAATGTTTCCTGCCTTTTCCAAGATTTCACAGCTGGTAAGTGGCACGATCAATGCAGAGGCAAAATTCTGTGTCTAAAACCAAGTTCTTAACCAAGAAACTATATTTCCTTACCTTTCCAGAGATATCAATTTTAAAAAAAAAAACAGATACTATGGTGCATTTGAGATCATTTACCACAACTTCTTTATAAACAAAATTCATGCACACTTCTTCATATTACATTCCCTATAATGCAGATTTCTCAGCCATCAGTCTACCTTCAGTGACGACCTGCCAAATCGCATAATCACTGGAAAAGTGCGGATGAAACCAAACGTAAAGGAGTTCACCGAGACGTCCGCCATCTTTGAGGATGGCACTGAAGAGAAGGTTGACACTGTCCTCTTTGCCACAGGATACACCTTCTCTTTCCCTTTCTTGGAGGATGACTTAGCAATCCTGGACAGCCAGCATTCCATGTATAAGTTTGTCTTCCCTCCTCAGCTGGAGAAGCCAACACTGGCTTTCATCGGCCTCCTGCAGCCCGTGGGGGCCCTCATCCCCACAGCAGAACTCCAGAGCCGATGGGCTGTGCGCGTGTTCCAAGGTAGGCCCGCTCTTCTACGTGATCATGCATGAATGGCAAGGCACCCGGAGCTCTTCTGTCCAATTTACCTT